AAATGTGTGGGGCCAAAATTTTCAAGCTTTACATAAATATATAGGAAAAATCTTTAAAAATCTTTTTGAAGAACCACTGGGCCAGGAAAGATGAAACTCATGTGGAATATCAGGTAGTGTAGATTCAAGTTAGTTCAAATCATGACCCCCGGGGCTAGTGTGGGGCCAAAATGGCTGACCCAAGCTTTACATAGGAATATATAGGAAAAATCTTTAAAAATCTTCTCCTGAAGAACCACTGGGCCAGGAAAGATGAAACTCATGTGGAATCATCCTCAGGTAGTGTAGATTCAAGTTTGTTCAAATCATGAAGCTAGGGTGGGGCCAAAATGGCCTACCAAAGTTTTACATAGAAATATATGAAAAATCTTTAAAAATCAACTTGAACACATGTTTACAAGTTTGTTCAAATCGCTTTAGTTTTACGAATATATGAAAAATCTTTAAAAAAAGTTGAATGCCATTTAAAGGCTTTTTCTGACCCCCAGGGCTAGTGTGGGGCCAAAATGCAGTTTTACATAGGAATATATGTTTCTTCCGCCCACTGGGCCAAACAAGTATCATCTTTGTTTTTATTAATTACTATCATTCCAAGTTTTAACAGCGAATATATAGGAAAAATCTTTAAAAACTTTGCTTACCACTGGGCCAGGATCGTGGTCAAGTTTCATATGTTGATTACCAAATAATACTCGGGGCTAGGGTGGGGCGAATGGACCCAAGTTTTACATAGGGATTTCAATGAAAGCAAAATCTACTTTGCATATGAAATACAGAAACCAGCAATACCACTTACAATAGTGTAGACCAATCATATGTTTACATAGGAATATATAGGAAAAATCTTTCTTCGAGAATGCAGTAAACAATAATCACTTTTACAGGCAAAGCAAGTTTTTATCCTTATAATGATGGAATTGATCGCTATATAAAATTATATTATAATAGTTTCAAAGTACAACCTTACTTATATCATGCTTTTAGTTCTGGTCTGATATGTGCTTTTTCCTAGCCAATGGGCTCAGGTGAGCGTTGTGACCCCTGGGCCTCTTGTTATTAATTACTATCATTCCAATAACAGCGTGTCACTTTGCTTAATCGATCGTGGTCAAGTTTCATATGTTAATTACCAAATCATTTCAATGAAAGCAATAACAATATATGACTTACGTGCTTTTTCGAATGATTGTTCACGAGAATGCAGTAAACAATAATCACATGTGGACAAGCAAAGCAAGTTTTTATCCTTATAATGATGGAATTGATCGCTTTATATAAAATGATATATATATATTATAATAGTTTCAAAGTACAACCTTACTTATATCAAGCTTTTAGATATTCTCATACGTATCAAAATTAACTCCGTTTGTTCAAATCACAACAAATATGCTTTTTGGGGGACAGTAAACGGGCTTGGACTGACCACGTATTGCCGCAATTGCATCATCTCGGGATTGCGTGTTGCCGGTGACTACAAATGCCCCGCTGGAAAACAATCATTCAATACGATTGGTCAGTGTCATCGGGGTATTGTTGGATTCTGTTTTTTATATGCTAAATAATATTGATTTCATTCAATTCAAACATCCGATCGATGAATGATATGGTAATCAACTTGTAAAATTTTTATCACGGTCGATCAAGCAAAGTGACACGCTGATATTGGAATGATAGTATATTATGTTTTTGTTTGAGTTGGCAAGAAGGAAAGTTGGAAATGTACATTTTAAATCTTATTAAAATATACATTCTGCGGATCTAAGAAGTCTGATTTTTTAAATTAGATTGTGTACATTTTGTGTATAGTATTAAAACTTCACTTACGAGAGCGCCTCTGTATCTATCACATGCGTGTTGTTATTTATTTTATAAATATGTTCGTTTAATTGAGTGGAAACGAATAAGAACATAAAATATACAATACATAGGTCCCTGTTGAAATGTTAATATAGATTCATTGCATAAAAAACAAAAGTAGAGAACTTTTTAAAAGTATTAAGCATTAAAACCGAATATATGTAACAGTACGACATTTAACTCTGGACATGACATAGTCCAGACTTTTTACTATCATTTCTAATTATGATATCCAAAATATTTTTATATCACTTGGTGGGATTTCTTAGCAGTATTCCAGGGTCTCATGTTGAACTCACAAACATTTTCACTTCTAAAGATATGAAGTCCTAAAACTCAGAATCCCATGGAGGAATGGTGGGATTTTCAATCCAACTTTCCTACGTTTCTCCCATGGGAGAAAAAAATGTCAGATGGGATATTTTCTCCTATGGGATTTTTTCTCTCACAAATTTGTTCAAATGGGATAAATCCCACAGATATTGACAATGAATCATTTTCTCCAATACATTGTTATAGTTGGTATATTTCCTATTATGATGACTTTGTCATTGTCCTACTGTATGGGATATATCATATTTTCATATTTCACCATGCATGGGAGATTGTTTGATTGTCAATATCCATGGTATTTATCCCATTTAAACAAATTTGTGGGAGATCCCAATGGGAGAAAATATCCCATCTGACATTTTTTCTCCCATTGGAGAATGGTGGGATTGATTGATTTACAATGAAGCGCATTGAAGTGGTAAAATTTTCCGTTTGGATGAAAAGTTCTGAGTCATATTTTGAACGTCAATTATAACACAATGACACGCCCATATTTTTAGAAACGAGAAAGAAATATCCCATTTTCGCGACAAGCATCATGATTTACACTGAATTGGAGCTTTAAAAAAAAATTAGAAGAGGGAGTTAGAGACTCCCCGCTTCTGTAAAACACAAATTGCAACAAATATGTACATATTTTTGAACTTAACATGTCTATTGAAGTTACCACAACACATGTTTCGGTCGAACACGTGTTTACTCGGTCTTTATTTAGATCCTCAATTTGATTGGCTATTATATTTATGGAAAACATGTTCTACAGGTATTTGAAGAAACAACTTGACCATTTTATCCATTTCTAAAGAAATGGGCGTGTCATATGATGACAATAAACATTCTAAAGATAGCTCAAAACGTTCCATTCGAACGGAAAATTTTACCACTTCAATGCGCTTCATTGTATTGTATATTGTTTAACGTCCCTCTCGAGAATTTTTCACTCATATGGAGACGTCACCGTATGCCGGTGAAGGGCTTCAAATTTAGACCTATACTCGGCACTCAGGGCCATTGAGCAGTGAGGGTTCTTTATCGTGCCAGCGCCTTCCGTGACACGGGACCTACGTTTTTAAGGTCATATCCGAAAGACCGGTGACTTTCACTTCTGATGCCGAGCGCTTGGCGAAGGAACAGTCACTACCTATTTTTAAGGTTTGACGCGGCGCCGCGAACGAGAATCGAACCCGGGCCTCCCCTATCACGAAGCGAATGCTCTACCACTAGGCTACCGTGAACGGTTGAGAATGGTGGGATAGAAGGTGGGATTGAAAATCCCACCATTCTCCCATGGGATTCTGAGTTTTAGGACTCCATATCGTTAGAAGCTGAGATGTTTGTGAGCTCAACATAAGACCCTGGGATACTGCTAAGAAATCCCACCAAGTGATATAAAAAATTTTTGGATATCACAATGAGAAATGGTAGTAAAAAGTCTGGACTACGTCGTGTCCAGAGTTAATGTCGTACTGTTATGTACATGTAGGCCTAGAAATTTCCAAAAATTATAATTGTAAAGGGTAAGGATATAACCGTGATAACGACCGGTGTCTCTGCACTCTGTGATCTGTTTTGGTTTCCCCGACATATTTAAATTTCTACGTCAGCGTGAGTTTTTAGTAGAGAGCTCTTTACACTACTGGTTACCTGTCTGTATATCAAGAACAAGGTTAGCTTTTTTAAAAAAGCTGAGAGTCAGCCACTGGAATACAGAAAGTTTCTTTCTTGTTTTGTAATGGTTTATGATTTGATCTATCCATCATGTTGTGTTTCTTAAATATAATAAATGCCATTGTAAGAAAAGTTAAATTCTTGTAATCGTTTTCTTATTTGTAACATAATGCTGTATATAATAAATGATAAAGCATAGAATATTTTTTTAATTCTGCATCGTGATCATTACAATGATCTCCAATAGATTCTCTTCGGCGCAGACATCAGAGAAAGTTCATCTTATACCGGTAAATAAACAAAAGCTACCGTGGTAACTAAGATCACGTTAAATTCTATAAAAATGATATAGATTTTGATGAATAAAAGGAAAGTAGACTTTGTGTTAGATTGTTTTTAAAAATTATTAAATAACAGTTTTCATTTGTGCATTTCGAGGCAATGCATGATGTGGAGGGGGGGGGGGGGGGGGTGAGGGGGCATAGTGCATGCATATTTAATTCCATTTCTAAGTTTGAGCATCCATTTTAGTGTTATTAGGAAAGAAAAGAATTGCTTCCAAAAAGTAATGAACGCCAGGGAAAACAATTTAAAATGGAAATTCAAAATATGTTTGTACATGCAGTACGTATACATGCAGCAGGCATCCAGAGGAATTATTCAATACACAATTTAAATCTTCGGCTTGCAATGGCGATTGAGGGAATAAATGTACTTATCTTCTATTAGAAGCAATGAAATATTTTCATAGTATCATTTAAAAACTGAAAATATCCCAGAAGATGAACAGTCTGTGTCATTAATTTTCGTCGAGAACGACGAAGAACAATGCAGTCTATAAATAGATCGAGGTCGTAAATGTGCGTGAAGAAGCACGCCATCTGGTTGCGGAAAATTGTGCAAATCTTTTTCCCAGAATTCCGATTAACGCAAGCGCACTTGCAGTGTCATCCTAACGTAACTAACGTTAATCAGAGAGATGGGAATTATTTAATCATATAATAAATATGATTATTTTACCTTAAAGTATGGTGTTGCCTTTCTTTTGCGTGTCGATATATATAGCCAAGTAAATCGTCAACTTTAAAAGTCAGAGCTTCTCGCAAAATTCTATTACTGAAGAAATGATTTGGACTGACCTCGTGCCTCCCGCAGACAACTACTGTTGAGCAGTCACGTGGTCTCACAACACCATCGCAGGACAGACAAATTTGACCTCCATGTAGACCTATTGAATTGCGTTTGAAATGTATACCTTTAATATTTTTTGTTTATTTTTTAATACTGTAATAGTGATCTTTTCAGTACTGTAAAATTCTTACAATATTTTTCGATATATTACCTTGACATACTCCGATGAAAACAAGAAAGAAAAATGAGAAGAACTCCATAACCTTAGGCATGGTCGGACCTGTATGTGATAAGAATTTATCTTAAGCTGAATTTCACTTCACAGCGTGTATCGTCAACGTATGCCGACGCATGAAAAAGACAAAACCTGCTGGTGTACGTTTAATGTCATAGGGATACGTTTCAGACAAGTGTTACATGAAAAGTTTAGATCTAAAGTATAAACTTATCTATAGATAGTTATAAATAAGTTTAAAGTTTAGATTTAAACTTTTAATGTAACACAAGTTTCGCGCTCGATAAATACTTCGGTACAAATTATTACTGTAAACTGAATTCGCTCCAAATTTTGTTTAAAGTTGCATAATAAGTCAAAATCAAGTGTCTCTTTTAAGGATGACGTTACTTTAGTTTTAGAAGACATTAACAAAATTTTATAAAGTACAAAATGTTAAATAAAAAATTGTACTAAACGGAGTAAATGGAGAAAACAACCAAGTTCTAACTCAATACTAATTTTTCAATTTAATATTTTATGGTTTGAAGAAAATATTCAAGAACAAAATCAATACAAATATACCGGTATTGTGATGCAGAGGAAATTCGGTCTAAATTTTAATTTTCATTTTTGCCACAAAAGAACCACGTACGCTTACTCCTGATTCCCACCTACATATAATAAATTGCTTTTAATTTCCACTCCTTCGATTAGGGGGGTAGAAAAATCTGCTTCATTAAATCAGGCTTTAAAACATAAAATACTTCAAAATGCTTACTGTATTTATTAAATATCCATTTTATTTGTCAAATTATTGTGTTTTATTGAATAAAAATAGATAATATTCAATTTTTGGAACAATATTTGATAACATAAAAAATGCGCCAGACTGGTTTTTTTTTAGAAGTTCTCGGCCACCATAAGTCACACTCAAGCAGAATAAAAGTATAAAAGATGTGAGAACTTTTACAAAGAAAACATTTCATAATGGCTGACAAGTGTGTACTTTGTAATAACAATACTAAAAAGACGCAAAAGGCGTACAAAGGACGCAGATATGTAAATGGGAAGGGTTTTTTGTGGTTGAAAAATGAACTTGGGGTTTAGGGGTATAAGCTGCACCAAAACTAGTGTTGTATGCATGAAATGCATATCGAGTACAAGAAGACAAATCGAAACAGCCAAGTTATGGCAGACCAGAACAGACATACTTCTGAGGACGCTGGAAGCTTTTCTTTAAATAAAGTCACCGTATTAGAGGGGTTTACCTCCCTTGGAAATCAGCACACACGTTGTGTTGTTTGCCGCCGTCCTGTTCAAAAGGGTTGTCAAACAATTACAAGATCATTACAGATAGATTTCCTTCTTATGTACAAGACATATGCACCCAAAGGTGTACGATTGTGCAAAGAGCATATTGTGAATTCAAAACTTAAAAACGGTGTTGTTTTATTTACAAACAAACAGACACTTGCTATAGGGCAAAGTAATGAGGAGGAAATAATAAAATTGTTAATTGAAATAATAAATGCAGGTAAGTCTCATTTATCGGCAGAACTTCTCACTGATGAAGAGTGCAAGGTATGGACGGGCTGGAGTTGTGAGCAGATAAACTGTATGATAGCTTTTGTAACATGTCGTAACACTTCTGTGCGTTCTAAACTCTTGGCAGTATTGTTGTTTTGGGTTTTTATGGTGATGAGACATTGGTCACTGCATGGGACGGTATTTATTATCATATGCAAAAAAATTCTCAGTATGACTTCTCAAGAAAAACTTATTCTGTTCACAAACATCGCCCTTTGTTAAAATCCATGTCCATTGTATTGCCTGGTGGTTAATTTTAGAGACACTTGGTCCATACCAAAGTGATGGAAAGCACAATGACGCTGCGCTCACACGTCATAACATTGATACTGATAAAGAGCCAACTGAATTATTACAGGCTGGGAATGTCTGTGTAGTTGATAGGGGTTTCAGAGATGTCTTGGACGTCGTTAAGCAATTGGGATATGAATGCAAGGTGCCTGCTTTCCTCGAAAAAGGTAGAAACCAACATTCGATAGGGGAAGCAAATGAATCGAGGCTAGTGACTAAGGTCATGTGGGTTGTGGAAGCTTATCATGAACGAATGAAAAAGTGGAAATTTTTTATTGCCTTTTATTCAAATCATCGGCAAAGTCAATAGTACATTATCTGCTGCTATTAACGCGTTTCGTCCCCCACTTTGTACCAGTTCTGCAGAGGATCGAAAACTCGCCAATGACATGGTAAGGAAGAGTCAGGAAAAGCAAAATGTCTTATTTGAAAGTGTTGAAGATGGTTCACTCTCCAGCAAGGGTAGGTGGCGACCCCTGCGAGATTCAGATGCTGCTCCTGATTTCCCCATTCTCAACCAGTCTGCACTTAGAGCGCTTACTTTTGGAGTTCATCAGTTGAGACAGGCTGCCAGTTACACCCAAGAGCATTTAGACGAAGAGGGCGACTACGACATTGACGTTCGCCATGAAGCCGATGACATTCTTCGTATACAATCAAGACATATTTCGTCAATGAAATATTTCCTCTGGATTCAATATTCCCTGATTAACAATGAAGATCCAATAACCTCGTGGTATTGTTAAATAAATGTAAAGCAGGGATGCGCACAGTCGGTTGTTGTGCTTATGTAGCATCTGTGCTTTGGTATTTGGGTCATGATAGACATATACATGTAGACAACCCTCAGCCTAATGCCTAGGTCACATTTCCCGGCCGGTGGCAGTAGACCGGTTGTAATCGGTGGTAATCCGTGGTGTGAGCGATGCCTAAACATCGGTCCAAATCGGACTAGTAGTCCTTAAAGTATAAGTCACATTATCCAGTGATGGCTATACGATGGGCAACCAATGCGATTTTTAATAAAAATGGCGTGGTTGCCGGCCGGACTTACAAGGGCCCAGCTATGCATTGCTAATCATAAAACGATGTTCAAGGATAATTGGCCGATGTATATTACATCGCTAATACATTTGTGACCATCGTTCGTACATCGGTCGACTACGGTCTAATGTTTGATAGAACATCGACCGATGATCGGCCGTTGTCTGCTGCCCACCACTCAACCTACCAATGACCTCAGATTCAACGGATATTGGACGATGCTCGGCCATACATCGACCGTTCCTTGAAAGAATTGTTAAAGATGGGTTGCCGATGAGGAGCGATGTGAGGCATCGTTAGAGACATCGCTGAATTTTAACTACGAATTATTTCCTACCGATGACCCTAACGATTCACAAAATTGCCTCAGACACCGTCCGATCACTAGTGGCGTCCGGCCGGCAACCACGCCATTTTCATCAAAAAACGCATCGGTCTCTCATCGTATACCCCTTCGCTGGATAATGTGACTTATACTTAAACAAAAATTAAGAACTTTGGTAAAAGATGTTAATAAAGCGAAATAGGCATTTCGGGTAGTGCGGATTACTGTTTCTATTTTTTAAGTTCTTTTATCGTATTGAAAAAAAAAAATTAAAAACATTAAATTAAAAAAACACAAAATACTTACCAAAGAAAGAAAGAACAGAAAGACATGAAGAGAGAAAAGAGTTTTATACGATTTACCAAAAAAAAAATCTGACTTAAGAAAGTAAAAAAGCTAAATAATTGACTATGCGGCTAAAGCAGCATATCTTGTTCACGCTCTCTCTCTCTCTCTCTTTAACTGAAGCTATGAAAAATTTAGAGTTCTTTTCATTCAGATTTTTGTAATATAAGATTAAAAATTGAATTTTAACCTAGCGACCTAGAGGCACGGTGCGCACAGAGCTCACTAAATGATACCCCCGCCTCCCATATGATTACAATGGCAAAGGCCAAGTAGTTTTGCTTTGGGAGACGCGAAAAAATGTGTCAGATCAGAAAGTAAAATAGGAAGTGCATAATGGCATTATGTAATAAAGAATCTTTCAAAGTGTCATTGAATTTTATTCTGTGTATTAGGAGGAATTTGGATAAGGTATCCTTCTATAATATAGAAAAAGTGGCAGTGTCAATTAATCATCACAGTTTAAAAGGTACAAAGTATATATGTAGATGTATTAGGTAAACTATTGTAAGTTACATGTATTAGTGAAAATATTGGCAATAGAAAAAAGAAATCAATATTTGTATCATAGATGAGATTTAGAAGAGTAAATTATAAATGTTCTTCTTAATTAAACTCTGTTAAGACAAGTCAGTGAATTGCGTGACATAAATTCCTCGGAAAAGCATCTCTCTTCAGGGGGATATTTCACCATTAAAATCATTCCAAGGGAAAATTACCTCGGTGCTTTCAAAGGGCACAGTCGGTTGTTGGCCATTTACCCTAAAAATTAAAAAAAGTTATATTTTGATATATATATTGTTTGTTTTATTTTATTGAGATACTTGCAGAATTTTCTTTAAGTCGGGTAAATCAATGACAAACATTAACTCTTAAATAATAATATTAATAATAACTAGAGCAAAGCTCGTTGCAAAACAACGAGTGGGTCTTCCTTCTTAGCAATAAGCAGAAAGTGAAATGTTCAAATGTCAACTTTGCTACCATTCTTTATTTCTTTGACTCAAACAGCAAAAATCCTTTCTTAAAGTCTGATTCTGGAGTGAGCACAAGGATAAATAATCCAATAGTAATCACTCCAACACCATTGAAACTGTACCTACAAAATTTATACAACCTCATATTTTGACTTTGATTTGTAGGCATATACTAGTATTACCTATGATGCAATCATATTAGTGAAGTGTTTTATGCTACGAATATATCAGTGTTTAAAAATTCATTTAAAAACATTTACACAGTATAATTAGATAGTATTATAATAGTAAGTAATCCCAATGTGCTACTGAAGAACTATCTCCATTTTTTGTCAGGTCAGAAAAAAGACCAATACTTTTACAAGAAATACAAAGGAATGTGTTGTGCATGTCTCTAATTTGCAGACCTCCACTGGCAAATGGTGGTATCTCAATAAGAGTGTAGTTAAGTTCTCTGAACAGGACATTCAACAAAGAGATTTCTTTCTAAAAGC